GTCCTCGCGCACATGCATTTGCAGCTACAGGTGCAGTCTCGTGACGTCACTATCCATTGTTCGCTGTTCTGCAAGCGGCGTAGCGGAGGTGCGCGGATCCTACATGCAGTGCAATGACTGCATACTGCTTTTACGAGCCTTTCTTCGTCGAGCCGAGTATGTTCTTTTTCGGACGACCGGACGAACGAATGATCGCTCTTCTTTGCTTCTCGATGCCGAGAGCGACGTTGCAGAAATTCATGGAACATGCATGGCTAACCTAAGACCAACGCATAGATCGAATGCAGCCATTATACTCTTTTCCTTGTTGAGCATCTCGGAAACGACGAGAGTCTCGAAAGGAGGATGTTAAAAAGAATTCGATTTCTATTCAAAAAGATGTAAGTAAACGGAATAGTATTTTTTTTTTTATAGATTTTGATCTTTTGAATACGATAATGTTAATAAACAGTTCGGGATTGATACGGATAACACTTTGAAAATTGAGCATAAACATGATTCATTTAAAGAAATTTCAATATTTTTGTTTATTTTTCAAGATATTCCCCAATCCAACTTAATTTATCCAGGGATTTTAACAGATCCTGATAAGATAAATTCATTGGGACCTGATCAGTCATGTAACGCATGTAACGCATGTAACGACAGTAGTCGGATCGTCATTCAGATAGCCTCATCAAATCTTAATAAGAACCTAATTAGGTTCTTATTAGGTTCTTATCAGGATCTGATAAGACTATCCGGATGAGGATCCGACTACTGTCGTTACATGCGTTACATGCGTTACATGACTGATCAGGTCCCAATGAATTTATCTTATCAGGATCTGTTAAAATTCCTGGATAAATTAAGTTGGATTGGGGAATATCTTGAAAAATAAACAAAAATATTGAAATTTGTTTAAATGAATCATGTTTATGCTCAATTTTCAAAGTGTTATCCGTATCAATCCCGAACTGTTTATTAACATTATTGTATTCAGAAAGTCAAAATCTACAAGAAACACTATTTCTTTTACTAATATTCTTTAGGGCAAAAAAATCGGTCTTTTTTTAATATCTTTCAAAATAGGACAGATTTTTGTCAAAAAAGATGTACGTAAAAGAAATATTGTTTTTTGTAGATTTTGACTTGAACATGATAAAATTATTAAAAAGTTTGTGACATGTGGGGAACACTTTGAAAAATAAACAAGAATATTAAAATTTCTTTAAATATATCACGTTCAAGCTTAATTTTTATGGTTTTTCCTATCGATTCCGAACTTTTTATTAACATCGTATTTAATAGGTCAATATAAATCTATATATAAATCGCTATTCTTTTTTGAGCAAAAATCGGCTTCTTTTTAACATCCTCCTTTATTATTGTGCTATAAGAGCAGTTTTACGAATTATGTATTATCGTTTTATTTTAAATACGTTGTACTTCTATTGAAATTTATAGAACTTTCGCTACTCCTATAATCCAAACAGAACAACAAGGCACAATAACGCCAAAATGATGTTAAAATGAATCGTAACTAAAATGAATCGATCAGAAAGACTTTTAACAATCATTTTAGAGCCAATTGAATTTTGAAGCTATTTTGATATTATGATTTTTCTCTTTTGTTGGATATTAATTGATGTCTTAAACTTCAATATCTATCGCAACCTTGTAAGGAAACGATTATCGCGCGCGTCCTATTGCTGCGAGATCTCATTTCCTCGGAAAGTCAAAACCGGCGCGGCGTGGCGATTCGATCTCCCGTAAAGTACCTGCATTTAATATATCGTAATGGGGAACATTCACTGCTTTCGACCGCAAGGAAAGCCCAGTCCGTGCAAAATCGTGAGGTGTAAAACTTTTACCGCGACGTGCGCTTTGCAGCCGTAACACGCGTTGCAGGAGAAAGAAATTCGTCAGGGCACTCGGAGACCCAGCATCCACGAAGTTGCAAGGCTCGGCTGCTGTGGATGCGTTGTAGTAAGTATGTGCGCGTTTGTAGCCGGTTCGACTACATTTTGTGACGGTGCACACCCTCTCGCACATCACGCATACACAACGCAACGCACACAAAAGCATAATAAACGCGTCTCACACGGATGCACACAATATAGAGAGACGTTCAAGAGGTTCCGAATCTCTCTCGAGTGGGTCCGACACGAGGGGCCTGCGAGGCCTCACAACCAAACAGAGTCCATATGCAAAACACATGCGGAAAGCGATTGGCTCGCCAATGGAGACCCGGTGTGCTTCATTCCAAGACTCGTGTAACGAGCTGTGGCGGTCCAGCTCCCGATACGAAGCTCGGAGTCTCGCACTCTACTTTGTCGCATGTTGTTATCGAGCGATTAATTCGAGGCCCGCACACACTTTGCATGCCGATATTCTTGGGAGAGTTAGGGGGATAATGGACCGTGATGTAGGAAATTGCGCGAAATGGAGATTAATTGCGTACCCGTAGATCTTCGCATGATCTTCGTTTAGTCTGTTGAGCATGACGCTTGTTTTCTGCGTCCTGTTTACGTGAATTGAAGAGAAGGAGAAGGAGGAAAGAGAAAATAAAGAGAAGAAGAGATTATGAACCGTCGTAGTGCTAGATTATCCTCCGTGACATCATATCGTATTGAATAAAATATCGTCACTAATCAGAATTTTTAAATAATATCATCTTTAAATGCCACGTTTCTTTTGTTTGCAAGTCATGTTGTTAATATTTCATTCATATTTTAAACATATGTTAAATAGCTATTAAAATATGTATACGACAAAAAAGTTATACGTTCTAAATATTTATCTTACTCTAAAGTTTTATTAAATTATATATAAAATAAAAATATATATATAATTAAAAAAAACTCCAATATTTTTATTCTGTCGCTTGTGGCGATTGTAGAAACCTACAATTGTCTTAACTCGTAAATTACTTAAATTAGCTACGATTACTCTCTATCACTTCTCGATTAACAGGTCTGTATTCCCTTCTCACATTAAAGAGATGCTGCGTGAGATTGGATTCCTACGGGAATCCTTTAGCGATATGAAACCACAGGATGTTGAATCGCCGTCGAGATTCCAGCGTGGATACAACCACCCACGTACGAACGTTCTCGACATTAGGCTAACGTAATTTGATCTCTGACGATGTATATACGCACATACCTACGTCCATCCGTTCGTCTGTTCGTTCGTTCATTCGTCTGCTCGCCCTAATCTTCCCTTCTTGGACACGCCTGGAATCATAATTTCAAATACCCTAGCTGATTGTAATCTACACGCGGAATAGTTGAGTCTTTTTTCGGCGTAAAATCAAAGATGCTTTATAAAACGAAAGTCGGTACCGTGATTGAAATCAGTTATTAATCGATAATATTCTCGAAGTATTTCATACAACGGAACATTGCACCATATGGTAAGCGGTAAAACGAAAATGTATATATATTGGTTTTTCAAACATAATTATATATATTTATTAAACCTTAAATTGAAACTAACCTTAAAAATGAGGCTTAATCTTAAAATAAAGTCAACTTGAAAAATGGTACCAGCTGTATATAATTGTGACCTATTTTTGAAAATCTAAAAGGAAAGTAGGTCTATCAATTCTCGTGATCAATTTGATTTAAGCGGAACGAATATTCTTCTTTCTTGCAGAAAGACAACATAGTTTCGTCCATAGAGGATGTCGTTAAGACAATAAAATTACAAGAAAATTATTTATATTGACAGCAATACGTGTAATATCTGACTGTCTGGCAACAAATTGCAATGATATTTACGATCGTGCGTGTATCGTATTTCTGCTACCAAGTACGGAATGCAGATACGGGGCATTTATGAATGCTAGCGTCTGGTGACTGCATCGCGCATTCAAATCACCGGTCAGTGCTCCGCTCGGCTATCTACCTCCACGGCGAGTCGGAGATCGCATTGCACTTTCGTGCCACGGAAATATTAACGTAAATATTGAGACTCCTGCGTGTTCCATCGGAGATCGTAATTACGATTATATTAATAATAACATTATCATGTTCTTGCGATAATTAGATGAATGTAACATCGCCTTTCGATATTCGTGAAAAAAATGTTTAGAAAAATTCTATAACTATTCAGAAGTATTATAAGATTTCATAAACCAAGATTCTACAAATCGTCGTATAAATCAATTGATAATTTTATTATTATTCACCTTTTAATATTTCACTCTTTTACTTCTCATAAAAAGTGAATGGCACAGATGAACATATGTTTAGGACAATTTTATAATGTCATAAAGATGCTATAGAGGTCATTAGTGAGTTTATAATGTCTTGAATGGATTTATGTATTTTCTTATATTAGTATTGATTTATATAAAATTTATTTTTTATCTTATATTTAAGAAAGGAACAATAATTTATATAAATATGCGAGAGAGAGAAAGAGAGAGAGAGAGAGAGAGAGAGAGAGAGAGAGAGAGAGAGAGAGAGAGAGAGAGAGAAGCACATAAAACTCTCATCAATACTCAAAATGGACACTTTTAATTTTTATAGAACGGGAAAATTATTATAGTCGCATTGAAACAGTGTTATATTTTGTGAGAGTGTTATTTTGAGGTAAGAAGTACAATGAAACTTATAAATTATGATAAAGCTTATTTAAGGAGAAGCTGTAAAATTTTAAAAGTAGACTATTAAGAGTTAGTTAATTTTCTAAGAGATTAATGTTCTCGTAATTTCTATATCCATTCGAGCTTGCTTATATTATTATCGCAAATTGTAAACGCTATTTTTTTAATTCTAAAAACTTATTTCGTAAAAAGATTAACAATCTATTAAAAATTTTAAAATTTATTACATTTTTCATTGCATTTATAAGTAATCAGAAAAATGAAAGATTTAGCTTTCTTTTTTAAACAAAATATTTTTTCTGAGAAGTATTTGTTACATAATTTTAATCTCATAAAGTGTTTCGTAATTGTATTCTTTAGGATTAAGTGAAAAAAATTTTGTTAGATAATGTAATTAGCAACTCACCCTGATCGATGTTTCTAGATCCTCATGGCACAGTGCACACTGATAAACACGAGTAATTTCTCTTTCTTTCTTTCTCTTTCGTCACTGATAATGTACCGAAATCCCAAAATCGTGCGCACGTTTCACTCGCGAACAAATCGCGACGAAAAGAAAAAAAGAAAGAAAGAAGAGGAGAAATTAAAAAAAAAATCAAAACAAGAACTCGCGGAGGATGGAAGTTATAAACCGCTAAGAGAAACGCTAACGATCAGCACGTTCCGCGGCAACTTCCCCTACGACAGAAACGGACTTCAAGTCTCCGAAGTCGAGTCCCAGCCGTTCGCTCTCAGTGCAAAGGACCCACGGGTCTTTGCGCTTGCGCATCAGGGCCCCTCTACCGGTTGACCAGGGGCGAAAGGTGGGAGAAACGACCGGCAACCCCCTTTCCACAGCCTGCTCCTTTTCGTGGATTACTGTGTATGTGTGCGTTATGTTTGTTTTATCTGTGGGTGTACCTGCTCAGGTGGCAGCACCTCACCTGATAAGTGCACCTGATGGTAGGTCGAGGAACAAGGGAAGTGTGGAGCAAAGTGTCACGCTAACGAATCTGTTTATATCTACAGCTAATTTTTTGATATTTATAATGATTTTTTTTTTCCTTCACAAAAACAATATTGAAAACATTGCGAAATCTTTTTAGGACTTTCTAATTCAAATATCTAAATAGATATTTTTTGCTCTGATTTTTACAAGTTGATAGAAATGTTTGATTTTAAAAAGTTATGGATCCTATTCTGTAACTCTTAGACCCAGTTGCAATGTTACTTTAATTTTAAGCGAGACTTAAAACTCTCTTTGTTCCTGTCTCTTTTCGATTTTAAAACGAGATAGAGTTTTAAGTTTTACATCAAATTTTAAAATCAAAGTAACGTTAGTACAACCGAGCCTTAACGATTGTAATGAATTCGTTACGTTGTCTTTGCGCAGTTTTTTTACTTGTATAAAACCTGCGCAATAACAATTTAACGATATCGTTACAGTCATTAAGAATTATAGAATGGAGGTCTAATTTAATAATCCTATTCTGTATAAACTCTTAATAACTGTAATGTATAATGGATCGTTGTGCATAATTTTGCACATAGTATAATGTTGCGCAACGACAATGTAATATCGTTATATTGTCCTTGCGCAGGTTTTGTAAATAGTAAAAAAGCTAAATAACAACAATGTAACGATATCGTTACAATCATTAAGAGTTGCAGTTATTATAGAGTTATAAGTCCCTTATTCTGTAACTCCCTGTAATAATATCGTCACATTATCATTGCGTAGGTGTTAATATAAGGTAAAGAAGCTGCGCAACAATGTAACGAGACCGACACTATCATTAGAAGTTACGGAACACGGGCCTGCTCTAAGAAAACTTATAAAAGAATTCTAAAAAGATTGTTTAAAATTTTTAAATTCCGATTTTATTAGATTTGAATTAAACATATATTATATAATAATAACAAGTGTTTTGACTAATCATTTACCTCAAATTTTATTTTATTTTCTTTTGTCATAGAATTCTTAATTTCAGCAGTATAACGTATGCAAACGAAGATTTAATTGCAAATTTAAAAACGAATTAATTTCGAACACCGTTTCTTCGATTACGTCAAAAGGAAGCAATTATTACGTAATTGCAATAATTGCAATCGCGTCACCCTCGACCATGCTGTTCCTTCCGGTCGAATTCTTACATTCAACCAGCCGGGACGATAAGACCCGTAGGAATTCGCGACGTAACGCCTTATGTCTCGTCATTGAGAATCGTGGGGAAAAGGGAACCGTGGGGTGTCGAGTCGAAGGAAGGGAAGCTAGTGCTTCGGCGGACACTTCGATGCACACCGGTGAGCAACGCCGTATGCGTTAATAATTCCCTCGTCTTCCTTTCGTTCCTTCACTTCGCTTTTGTGCGCGGTTGTGTTTAAAGAGGGTAAGACAAAGACCCTCAAATTCTCTCCCTCCTTTTCTTTCTCTATCTACTCTCTTTCACTGCTTCCTTCCGCTCGTATACACGAAGTGCCTTTTCCATCTTTACAAACATACTCAGTTTTACAAAGGTAAAATATAATTTTTTGTACGAACAATGTTAATATTTAAAACGTAACGTAAAAATTGGCGATTCTCTGCTTAGATTTGTTATATATTTTTCATGGATTATTTCACTTTAATTTACTTCATGTGCATTATGCGAATTTGACGTATTTTATGTAAATACAATGGAGCTCCTTAAAGAAATAATTTAATTTTGATATCAATCATCGATTTTATATGCAACGATCACATAATGTGAAAAACAATCTTTAGCAAGAAGTGCCGAATAGAGTTTTGCTAGCACAATGTAGAAATAGCAGAATCATTTACCGACAGGTCGATGCACACGAGTGAACACGACTATCTACGGAATACGAAATAGTTACGGAAACAGTAGCGCGTTATTTAGCTTTACGTGTTGCACATTCTCGTGCAGATGCAATAAAATTAATTAGAAAGATGCTTGAGCTCTCGCAATAAACTTAAAACGTTCGGTCAATCAAATAAGATAAAGTTTAAACAATTTTTGCATGTATTTCTTATTGAAATCGACTTTATAAAGAAAAATTGAATCGTCTGTTTAAAAAAATTTAAATATAATTAAAAAGATATAGTTTTCATAATAAGACGATGTATAATTCCCAGAGTTTGTTATAAATAATATTTTTTTAATTTGTAATATTCTCTAAATTGTACTTTCATGTTACTTTTAAAGTAAATAAATTTAACAAATCAAATGTCACAATTTGTTTCTCGTTAAATAAAAATGCAAATGTGTTCTATTTTATGATATAAATAGACTTAAACTTTAAAGTCAATTATTGAAAAAGATTTATCTAAGTTTAAGCATCTTAAAACGATGATCGAATGTTAACAATGTGTCCTTTCTTAGAATCGCGAGATTATCTACTTTTAATATTTGAGTTATGAATCATCGACGCACACATTTGCACGTGCGGAGTTCACAGAACGCGCCTTTTTTCTCATATTGTTATACATCCACAGACGGGAGCGAGGAAAGAGACAGTCGCGCATACATTGTTAAAGAATTCGTGCACGTGCGTGGGCGTGTCGTATGCGTGAACAGCTTGGAATTCAAATCGAGCGCAGGAAAGAACTACGTTTGTCAAGCACGTTCGGCAACTCGACACGGTAGTTAAAAGCAATGAGAGATCTATGAAAGTGAATTTCACGAAGAAAAGAGGAAAGGATACATATCTTTTTATAGGAATGCATCAGCTTCTAGTAAGTAAGATGTAAATAGAGGGAAAGAGAGAAATATTATACGTAACATTATGCCATTAAGAAAGTCTTCTTTCATTTCTTTTTTAAAGAAATTCAAAATTTTATGTGTAAAAGTAAAACTTTGTTAAACAGTATATTTTTTACATTACTTTTTGTCAGTAGATCTTCGTTATTTTATTCTCATTAGAGTTGTTAATTAATAATAATTAATAATAATGTATTCGTAAAACAATAATAGCATTCACAGAATTAAAGAAATTAATTGGAAATTATATTTTAGATAAAAAAAACCTTTATTATGTGTGTAGACTCGTAATGTTACAATTGCTACTATACGCGTATTTAACTTCTATTATTTTATTTTTATCTATAAAATTGTTCTACAATATTTTATATAACATAATATTAAAAAGTGTTCTACTCAAACATTACTGATACATTACTGATAATTATTCAGCGGTAAAATAATACTTTCTAAATCTTTTGGAGTGAAATCTCATTTTAAAAGACTGAAAATTGAACTAGTTTTGAAAAAAGAATGAAAATATTTTCACTTTTGAACAAGAGTGACAGATTTTATTCTTTTGGAGTAAAAATCATTTCAAGAAATGAAGTAATCCCAAAAAGGAGTGAGATTTCATTCTTTTGGAGTAATTCTCACTCCAAAAGAGTAAAATTCCAAAAGAGTGAAAACCACTCTTTTTTCAAGACTGATGCAATTTTCACTCCAAAAGATTGAGAGTGTATGTATAATTAAAATATATTTACAATTTTATTCAGTTTCCTTGATTCTCTCTCGTATAAACAGTTGCAATAACGATTGGCAATAATCATGCAAACTTGTTGAAAATCATTTGCATATGATTTCGACGACACCATTAACACCCACATCGTCCGTTACCTTTTCTGTTGGCGCTCGAATCTAGAATTATGCCGTTGCAAGTACAGGTTTATGCAACGGCATAATCGCATAATTCTAGATTCAAGTTCCATCAATCGAATATCGGCTAAATTTCCCGACTTCTTTGATATTATAAAATATAGCAAAGTATTCGACATTATTTAACATTATTTATCTAACATTATTTAACATTATAAAATAAAAGCGTTAAAGAGAAGTTTTTGAAAGCCAACACAGATTGTATAAGTGTGTAATTACATATATTTGATTAAAAAAGATAAATACATTTTGATTCTAATTTGGATCCTCTTCAGTATAAATTTAATATTCATAAAAAAAGATCATAAATAAACATTGTCACGAATAATGGAGTAATCATCAAGAATATTAATGTAAGAAAGTAAATATGATCAAATATTGACTAATTCTCACGTCTTCACATCTAATAAGATGTGATTATTTATTATATTCCAATAAAATGAATGATATCTTGACGATTGTTATTCCATTATTCGTGACAATATATATGATTATTTTTATCTGTGAATATTAAGTTTATATATTAAAGAGCATCCAAATTAGGATCAAAATGTATATTTATTTTTTTAACAAAATGTATGTAATTACACACTTTTATACAATTTTATACAATTGTGTCGACTCTCAAAAGTTTCTTTTTAACATTTTAATTTATTCATTAGAGCTTTTACTTGAATTATTTATAATATAAAAGCTTATATAGCAAAATGATTACACTGTACTCTACACTATCAAATTTAACATTATGAAATGAAGAACATTTATTAACTATTACTAATCATAAAACTAATCATAATGCGTACTATAAGGACAATTTCTTCTTTAAGAAAATAACACCGTTTCAACGATTATCATACGCCGTATTGATGAAATATACATTCCGGATGAAGGATGAAATTTAACAAGTGCATCTAGAAAATTCGAGAGTGTGTTACAGATGCTACTTACATGTAAACGTCGTAAATAATCGGTCTCGATTTTTGTTCGTGAGAATATTGTGTGTGTGCGCGCGCGCGCGCGCGTGTGTGTGTGTGTGTGTGTGTAGATGTTATTATTGTAACAGTAATAGTAGCTAAAGAATCGAAGCTTAACATTCTGTTAAGCTTCGATTCTTCAGCTACTATCAAATCGAGCTTAACAGAAAGGGTACAGTGTAGCTTGAGTCCGTTAAGTAAACCGTAATAAAACGATCGGCGATAATGCACTCTGTGAATACTGCTTGAAGCATTTTATGCATCCACTATACTTTTATTCGACTTTCTGCATTCTTTGAGATTAGTTGTTTCATCCCTTAAATGTAACTTTTTATATATGCAGTCTTCAAAATCTTAAATATAAGAAGTAAAAATCTCACGATTTACGTATCATTATTCTAAAATTACATTTACATTTGATTGCAAATTACATTCGTCTATTCGAATTACTACTGTATAAATAAAGAGTATTGTAAAACTTACTTTAAAAATAAAAAGTTAAAGTAGTACGATTAAGATAGTGAAGACAGTGGGAGAAAGAAATTCGCGTATTCTTTTTTAATGGATTAAATCATTGATACGCGAGGAAATTTTTTATAATTCTTATGATAATGATCATAATATTTCTATGATAATATAACTCGATTTAATATAATTTAATATCATTGTGACACATATATATGGCATCAGAGAAGTGATACATATTCTATGTATACATATGTTAAAATTTTGTATTTGATGTAGATAAAATTAATTTTAATTTTATTGTGCTAATAGACATGCTTAAGTTATTTTTTTATCGTCAGTGCCACTTTATATCCTTTTATCATAATATTATTGTAAATTTAAGTGGCTTTATAAAAATATGTATATTATCATGTAGATTTCGTTATAAAGATATTATCATTTCTAAATTAAGCTAAATTTGTGGCTATTGTTAGCTTATCAATAAAGTGAATGATAAAACATTAGTTTTTGCCTGACATTCTTATTGAATAAAAAACAGTTTCTTGTATTTTTGCAAATTGAATGATCTCGATGGTGGGAATTAGACAGCGACGAGTGGAGTAGAATCTTATTGCTATTTCCGGATGCTGAATGTTCGTTATCACGTGGTGAACTCCAGATAACGTTTATTTTCTATGGAACCGTAACTATGAGAATAGCGACCGCTGTACGACGCCCTGGACCAAGCACCGGCTCTATTCGAATAACTGTTACACACGATCAGCGAATTCATGCCGCCGGGCCTGTCGATCGGTACACCCTGACCTCGTCCGTTTTGATGCAAACTGCTACCGCTTAATCGGCCACTCTCCATCAGTGGTGCTCTGAGATTCTCCACCGTAGTGATTTCGATGTATGGCTTGGGTGTACGACTACAGCTGCTCAGGAACACTGCAGCTATCACGCCCTGCGAAAAAAATAATACAAGCAATTTTATTTATGGTTTAGATAATCACTGAATCACTGAACAATTATACTGTTTAAAAATTCAAATTCAAGATATTTATGCAGTTTGTAGATAATCAGATTGTTAATTCTCGAAATCCAATAATTTGCTTTTTCAAAGAGTTTATGATTATTTAAATAAGACAAAGTTTTATGCCTAGGCATTAATCTTAGTATAATTTTGAATTCTTACCCGAGAAAAAATATTTTGTATATAATTATATATAATTTTTTTTGTGTATAAATGGACATATTTTATATATAATGAAAACTATAGAAATCAAAGTTTTAAACGATTTAGCTGGATCTTAAATGCTTATATGATTCTTGTGTAAATTTATATACTTACTATATTTATATACATATTATATATTCCCTAGAAACACATGTCGAAATATGGCGTGAAACATTTCAAAATTGAAAAAATCATTTCAGCGTGCGTTTCTAAGGATTACAAGTATATAAATTTACAAGAATCATATAAGCATTTAAGATCTAGTTAGACTAAGACTTTGATTTCTATAGTTTGCGTTATCACATATACGGTCCTATAATATATT